GCAATTTATTAACTATGAGACTCTGCAGCACAGAATCCTTCACAAGCATTCCTGCAAATAAGGACAGGCAGCACAGCTTTCAAATGCCTCACCTTTTTAAAATAATCAGGAAAAGCATGTGGAGTGTCTCCATTCTCTTCATTTGCCTGGTCTTACTCCGGCAGTGGCAGCTGTACTAGAAGTGCTTATATACCTGAGCCAGAAGATGTGGTTCGGGACAGGACACAAGTTTTGGCCCTAATAGGGTCATGTGATATCCCATTTATAGAGGATCTGACATTTACTTAAACCCAAACTATATTCTAAGGTGATATTGTGATGGCAAGAGGCGTACATGGCCGCATTGTTCCATTACGACAAGATTCATTAAAGGGCACATCTGATGTCATTCACTGCCTCCCTCACATTATTCGTGACTGGGGAAACATCTGGTAGATGACGTTTAAGTGCAGGGCATTGCATGTAAGTAGTAAAAACCTCAATTATACGATAGGGATCAACATATTCTTATGTCCCCTGGAACAGAAACAAGGGTGGAGAGGATGTTACACACCCAGTGCAGATTTCAGGTGGAAAAACAAAGGGATTGAATTCCTTTTTTAAGCTTCTCTTTTTGAGGCCGCACACACAATTATTAGCAGCCGATAGAACAGGCATTTGAAATTCTAAACATCAGAACACTTCCTGGGACTAGAAATTCAGCTTCCAAAGTCTAACCATCACAGGAGTTTCTGTAACTTTCTCCATGCAATCCAGTCCTTTGTCCTGGGGGCGTTGTGGGCATCTATCCACATTCTGGGAATGTCCAGATGGGGTTTGGGAAACAGGATGTGGCTACTTTCCCCACTATTCTAAACTGGATCTCCCCATATCTTAATGTCATTTATAACAAGGTTTATATTGCTCAGATCTGTGGTGCTGAGCAGGTTAAATTATTGCTGCACAGTAGTGATGGATCTGCTGCAGCTTAGAGATACTTTGGGTAGGAGCAAAGAAGGCTGATCGAGTCCTTTTGGGTGGGGAAACGCAACTGTGCTGCACTGTTCTTGTTTCTGTTTCCGAGAACATTTTACATAATAACTTTTCAAAAAAGAAAAGAGAGCCAAAACTCCCTGCCAGCACATCACACTATAAAGATCTCACAGCTTTTAACATTACATAATGAAAACAAGCACTAATGAAATGTTCAACTTGCATGCCTTCAAAATGTTTTGTTCTAAAGCTGTTGCAGTTGTACATGCAAAGAGAAAAGTGGCACAAGCTGTTACAGAGGAAAATAAATCTGTCATCAGATTTTTGGGGTTTCGGCTGCTAAGTCCTTACCTATGATAATGTTTAGAAGTCTGTAAATATCCAAAAGACAAGCATTAAGAGTTGTAGAATTTACTTTATACAGAGAGGTGTTCTTGGAAAAGTTCTGAAAGATATGTTATATATTGTGATATATTCACTAAGATATGATGTTTTTTATTTATATGCAATGTAATTGCCTCTTTATCACCTTGTGGATTAAAACCAAGTGTGAGAGAGTGATTTAATTGTTCACACTTGTATAAACTTTTGTGTCCCAAAGGTTTGGGCATATACTGTAGGAGGGGACCCATTTTATTCAATACTGAAGAGCACCAACCAGGTGACATGTTGCAGGCCCACTGCACAGGAAATCAGAGAGAACTAGGCACATTTAAAATTAACACATTGTTAAATCTTTAGGCATTTTAGTGAGAGCGCTCCATCATATGAGTTCTCTTTGAAACAACTTAAAAAAGGTTTGATCAATCAATAATTTAAACAACATACAGCCCAACTGAGGGTTTCATTATATAATACGCTTTTCCTGTTTCTATTCCGTTCAGACTTGAAGACTTTAAAGCCTGGAGAGTGCTGCACACGCTGGAGAAGCTGGGTGCTGAGCTTGATCATGATGATAGAAGCTAATTACTCTCTCAGCAGGGAATGCACTGACAAACTGCTCCAACAGGCAGGGTCTGGAACGAATATAGTGGGGCAATGTATCTAGAGGGGGAGTGGCATGCTTTATACTTTACCCAGTCATCTGTAGCCTGGGAGAATTAATGAGATGACAAAGAACAGAACCTTTGCTTGGCACCAAGAAACACTTTTAAAAAATTGGCAGTCTCACAAACTTCTAACTCTACTTAAAAAGATTAAGACACTAGACGGACTAGATTGCATGATCTGGCTTATTAAATTAGCGCACTTTGTCTGGACCTCCATTTCATGATCTCATTCTGTGTTTACGCACCACTGTTGCTGCTGAAAAGACGAAGATGGGAAAATCACCATAATCCGTCACATCACGACAGTAACTTGACCCAGACAAGCAAGAGGATTAGTTAGTTCAGGTCCTCCCGACCTCTGTGCGCTGTATCTGCTTTCCCATCATGCCTTACTCTTCCATCGGCTTTCTCAAAGCGGTCAGCGCAGTACTCTTGTTTCCTCCTGAAGTACCTCAGCGGCTGCCAAAGTGGCCATCCACGGAGCTGCTTGTGGTTTCTCCCCTGGATGTGAGTATGGCTGACATTTGCACTACACCAACGTCTACACTACATCTATAGCAAAGGTTAGAAAGACTAGGGATGTCACCAGTCCATAACAAAACAAATGAACAAACCAACGTACTGATTTTTATTTCCAAATGTGAGCAGACTCTTCCAGGTGTCCTCTTCATTATTTCAGACATCGAAGTCACTAATCAAGTGACTTTCTATTGCCTTCTGCTATATAAAATGACTTTCCTTTGAACCATAGCATATCTTAATGGCTATTTCAGCGCTGAAGACCAAGAAATATGATTACTCATCCATTATTTTGACATCCTAACGTGTAAAAACCAGACCACTATTTCACTAAGACATTATGTCTTGTGTATGGTATGTTCTAGGCCATCAAACAGGAGAAAGCAGACATGGAGACATGCTATGTGCTGCAAGCCTTGCTCCCAATGGAGTGCTGTAGAACAGCAACATTGCATGTAAGACATGATATTCTGTCACAGGAGGAACAGCTATCCTGCCGTCAAACTGTCCTCCAATATAATAATTCATACAGACTATCCAGTCAGTTTTAACTGGGGAAAAACAGTTGCAATTTCAACATTTTAGACAATGTGCCATTTAAGCCACCCATTCTATATGCATTGTGAGTGGCTCAGTACTCAATCACTTGTTATGTCACTTGATCACTGAGAATTGCAAAGTAGTGGGTGTTTTGCTGTGATATGTGGAAGAAAGTTGATGTAAAAAGCCAAAAGCTTAAAGCAAAAGCATAAGACTCCTGATTTGTGGTTGCTCTGGGTCATCACCGACAGCAACAGCAGATTGGGCTGTCAAATCAGACAGTTTCAAGACTTTACAGCAGGGATGGGCAACTCCTGCTCCCAAGGCACAGCATCCTACACAATTTAGAGGCATTTTTTAAAAAAACTTCTGATGAAGATATAAAAAAAACAAGCAATCTGACTTCTTATCCAAAGATATAGTCCAATTAGTTATGATTAAAGGTAAATTTAAAAGAATACCCTGCAGCCCTCAAAGACATTATTAATATACAGGCAGTGGCTAGCAGATAAACAGAAAAGGAAACACAATTCAAGTTCTAAAAAGCTAATGAACCACTATGTACATCTCATACATCTCATGCTGCATCAGATACTGCTCTCAGACCAGTGCTGTCTCTCTAAGGACAACTAAGAAGATCTAGTAGAATCAATGCTGCAATGTGGTGCAGGTGAAGTCGCCACTGAGGTTAAACCAACTTGCTATTAGGGGTATTCTCTAATTGGCAGCACAGTACTTTTTGCTTTTCCGATACTGCATGTGCAACACAAAAATCAATGTTTTTAAAAGGGACCTTCACAATGTTTCTGGATTCCCACCAATTCTGCCAAGGGGTTTATAAGTGGTGTAAGGCTCTAGCTGCTCCTGGCTTGCTGAAGGCAAGAGAGTTCACCATGAGTCCTATAAGGTTGCACTCAGACAGTGCTCTGTGGGAAGCACACACAGCTAATGAAAAATCATACTGCCCCGTAGTCTTCAGGATGTGGCAGTTTATACTGGATTTTCCCCCATTTCTGCCTTTAATTATTCAGTGTTTTTTTTTCCAATGGCTGTCTGCTGTTGCCTGCCACCCTTACTGCTACTGTTTCCATAGCAACCCAAAAGCCGACTGAAACGGCAATAATTCTCCCACCAGCGTCAGATTCTTGTTTTCTTTTATACTTGTCTTTTCTGATTGGGCAACGAGGGCTGCGCAGGGACTGCACAGCATGCTCTCCACTCACCCTCTGAACAAGTACACAAACGGAGGGACAAATCAAGATTAAAACACAACACACCTGAAGACGCTACAGAAGAAAAAAAAAACTACCCAGACTTTTTTAGCTCAGCGCTGACGTGAAGAGGAGCAGAATCAAAGTCATGCTGCAGTTTCAGGATCTCTTGAGAAAGCAGCCAACAACCCTTGGATAAAGTTCAAATGCGGCTACACCAACACCGCCTACTAAATGATGGCATTAAACCAATACTTACCTCCACAGAGTAGATACAAGAAAATGAGCCCCAGTCCTTCCTACATAACCCAGTGAAACCAGTGACAAACCCAGACTTAGGTGCACTTAAGGAAGGATATGCCCAACACACCCAAATACCAACATTTACATTATCATTATTCGTTATTTGAGAAATTTCACATGAAATCAGAACATTAAAACATATACAAAACTACAAAAACAGCTTGTTGAAATCAAGGAATCTGAACTAAAATCACTAGATTATATTGCTTTATACTGTATGTAGGGCTTAAAGCAGTATGCTGCAGAGCCAGCTTTGTCCACCTCATTCAAAAAATAATCCTTACATCTCCAGCAGTGCACACACCCAGGATTTCTCATGACAACCATAAATACCCTCTGCGTAACACACGTAAATGAACAGTGACAGCATTGTTTTGTTAAAGATAGCACAAGCTTGAAATACGTCAACAGTAACAATTTTTTTTTAATCTGCACCAGCCAGGTACTGTCCCTCGAGCGCTGCAGACGCAGCAGCCTGTATCTAGGCCTTTTCACAGCAGTCTCCCTGCCGCTCAGGGGACAGGTCTGAGCTCAGACGGGCAAGGAGAGGCCCACAGTGCAGGAACCGTGCCAAACGCGACAGCAATCTGCTTGTAGCGTCAGACACACAAATGAAACCAGGGAAAAAAATCCACAACAGAATTCCTGGATTGTGTTCTGTACTGCGGGGCAGTGCCGGAAGTCCATCGGATCAAATAACTCGCCAGGAATCAGGACAGCTGCACACAGGGAGTCAAATCGACATTTTACACTGGAAAATAGGCAAAGGCGGAATTCTATGCGTGTAAAATGAAAAATCTCCAAGTCTCCAGTGGGGGCTGTAGGGCACATTATTTATACTCCTCTTAGTCAATGGCCCAAGAAATTGACTCAGTTCAGGATTCTGAGATGGGAATTCTTCATTCCCACAAATGGCAGGACAGCAGCAGCTGCTCTTTCTGGACCTACGGGAGTCCTCTGCAACCATGGCATCCGCAGATGAGAATTCCTGTTTGTCTCCAAGATGCCATTCTGCATTTCAAACCTGCTTCACTGCTGATCCCACCAGTGAAGAAGGACGTTGTGTCGAGTTTGTTAGTGTCGGCCTCTTGGGCCCGTCTTTCTCAGAGCTCCTCTGAGGCTCAGGGGTGTGGGGAGTGGCATTTGTTATTAGAACATCTACACATCAGACTGCAAACCATACAGCTTCACCCTTTAAAACAGCAATCTGCACAGAAGCTCATACTGTCAGTATTAAGGTTAAATGTCTGAAACAGAGGCCTCAGGGTCAGTATTAAGAAATGACATTTAATTCCTAAACCACAACAGGAAAATTAATGGTTTAGCATGCACACGCACACACAAGGGGAGCTGGGCTCTGGCAGTGACCTAAGGCGAACTCCTGTAAAGTTATACTGAAATAACAACTCTTTTCAGAAAATGATCCTCTCACTGTACAAAACTGGAAAACGTAGCCTTTAAAACTCTGAACCCACACGTTAACTGCAAACACTAATCACAGCTCAAAATACCTATATCTGGTTATGAGTGCTACAGAATTCATGTGATACTGTCTCTAGAGGTTTGTTTAAAACAAAGTAAATGTCTGTTAATAAAATAACAACACTAAGCTTCATATTATTCCCTAGGTCAAAAGCACCAGCAGGACAGAAAAACAAACCAAAAAACAATGATTTTTTTTAAATTAAAAAGGTTGATTAACACTTGGAAGTGAGGACAATGCTGAGGCCACACTGTGCAATCACTGTTATATTCTAGCTGCGCACACAAACACAGCCCACATCCCAGAGGGCTCCTATGCCAGCATGTTGGTGTGCACCAGGGCGAAGGCCAGGCGGGGGGCGTCCGAGGGTCTGGGGAGGTCGGCCTTGCCGGCCAGTGGCAGCACTGGCTCGTGTGGAGAGGAGGACACTCAGGAAGCAGTGGAACAGGGTGGAGGGGGTGCAGCAGGCACTCTGGGGACCAGACACAAGGTTACGAGTCCTCAAAGCTGAAGGCACCATCTCAGGATATGGAGGAGAACTCCTTGAGGAGCACGTCCTGGCTCAGCGTGTTGAGGGAGACGTTTTTCCGCACATTCAGACTGATGGAGCGCACCTGCAAATACAGTCACAGCAATCAATGGAGTCAGAATGCACTTGGAGCAGAGTATCTGCCATGAACTTCAAGACACCTATGGACAAACACAAAACAGTTTAAACAATTTATAAATAGCAAGAACAGGTCTATAGAAATATGCATCTAGCAGAGTTACTGCCCAAAAGATGGCATGACTGCTCTTGAATTTAGTGCAGGCCAGAGCAGAAGTGATGTTAAGAGCTTTACTGATGCTTCTTTTATAGACAGGGATGCTCTATATGTCAATATCTTCTAAATATACTTGCTTATTAATACTTTATCACAGAACTCAATATTTTGCACAGCAAATACGGGTTATTTCAGGGGGGCGGTAATTATGACATCGTTAATGGCGTAGAACAGAGAAAAGACTGGCAAAGCCAGTCGGGCTGCAGTAGACCTTACTAACAGCAGCCAGCTGTTAAATTGTGAAAATGAGTGGTCAATCACCATCTTACCAAAATAATAAGCCTATACCGCAAAGCACTCAAATTAAACACGTTTTGGGAAAAGGAACACCTTGACACACATCATCATAACGATGATTTGTTTTTCACCCAAGGAAGCTCATCAGAAGGGTAAGAGGAAAGACAAATCAATGAACAAAAACAGCAGTGGTTTAATAATGACCAACTCATGCTGATTGAATGCTTTTTTTGTACTAAGCTTGATTTTTTGTCAGTGGGAAACTGGTGAATTAAACTCAGCAACAGCCATAAAGGTACTGTTTGTAAAAAAATGATGATTCTTCCAGGAACCACTGCTGCCAATCTGGTAACAGCTGCTCTGAAGACAAAAAGGCAGGCAACTGATTGGATATCCGGTCAATTGGCGGTGTCTCCTACTGTTATATGAACAAAGTTCAGCATGATGGGGGAACCTGAATAATGGCCTCTGTGGTCAGAGCGCCGAAAACAAATCAGGCCTGTCATCCAAGGCCTCGAATAGGGAGGTGTAAAATTCAATTAAATGGCATAAATGAACAACTCCAATGTTGCATTAGTCTGAAAAATGCCAAAGTCAGGTTTGGAGTTGTTGGCAGTGATATTCTAGAGTATCCAAGTTCACTCTCTGTTGTGACCCCTCTGTAGCGAAAGCAGCACGGCAGAGAAAATGCTGAAGGTATCTGGGTATTCCCAGCACATACTCACCAGCTCTTTGAAGAAGCCGGCCTCCTTGGGCTGCTCGGAGTACCTCTCATACTGGTCCAGCCCGTCCTGCAGCTTCAGGGTCAGCGTGTCGTAGTTGGAGCGCACCACCTCCAGGACCTGAGACAGGGGGGCGAGAAAGAGGTTTTCAAAGGCCTCACTCAAATGATGACATCCACAGGCCGGGTCTAGAGCACACTGTTTGGGGCATTCTTTTTAAAAGAGGAAAGGAATACTGGCGGTATGGGAAAGCCTGGTGTTTGGTCCCTGAGTTTCACAGGCCGAGTCCCAAGTGCCGCTCTAAGCTCCAAGTCCGCATTTCTGTGACGTAGTGCATGTGTGGACTTTAAGTGCGCAAGCTTTCAAGGGGTACCGTTATAAAAAGGGTAATGGCCGCCTTTGAACGCCATCACTTGTTGGTTACACAGCTCACGGTCAAAATCTATCTGTTGTTGATGCTGCTTTTCCAGTGGCTGAGTTCACATCTACAGAGACTTTTTTCAAAGCTTTTTTTTTTCTCCGCTCATAGTCTGATGAAATTGAAGGTCATCAAGTCTGTCCCTGCACAAAAGTAGTGACATACTGTGTTCATTCATGTTGAGCAGGCTCGACTTAAAACAAGTGAAGTACACTCTGTTTCTTCAAAGTTGAAATACTGTACATTGCATCTAGTCTGTCCCAGTACAAAAATAATAGTACAAGGAACATAATGCGTTCATTCACATTGAATAGCATCAATTCAAAGTGGTCAAAGTAAACTAAATAAGGTTAATTTGACAATACCCCCAAAGCTTTGTACTATTACATACCTTGTTTTTCCATGTACAAAAAAACACCGTAGGCAAACTAATATTTATCATCATCGAATAGGGATGACAAAATAAAAGCCTTATGTCAAAACTTCGTACCTAGAATACACATGAGTCTAAAGTAGCTTAATGACATTTTGTTTTCACATCAAATATAATGAGTTTTAAAATTGGTAAAAATTTTACTAACAATTGAATATGTTATTTTCTAAGGCAACTTCACTACGCTTTGATAGGTTAGAACATGAAACATCACAGTTTCGCAGGGAAATTCCCTTCAGCAAAGTCTGCTCCCATGCAGACTCAATAGAAGGGTGCTTAAAGGGCGCACTGGGGGCTCTCTTGATTCACAAATTTACTAATAGGACACCCTAAGCCCTTGCAGACCTGAGCCGGAACGCAGATATGATAGGCAGAAGACAGCAAGCCTGTATGTATATTGGGAGACTCAGAGGTCATACAGAGGTAACAGAAGTACTAAAGAGACAGCAAACCCACACATGCACACGCCAGTGGTGCAATGCTGATTGCCTTCTACAGGGCTTCCTTTGCATTTATTGGATAAATGGACCCTGTACTGGATAATGTACTTGGGAAATGCATGAATATCCCAGCTCCTAATCTCAATGGCTTTTGCAGTGCATTATGACTGGATCTTTTCATGGTGCTGTCTCTCTGGGGTGCACGTTGCACCTAATAAGAAACCCTGTTCAGTTTACACGTCAGT